ACGTGGCAGCAATCCAGCCTGCCAAGCTCACAATCATGTTCTCCGACATTAGTTCCTGCGTTGACTTCTGCAAAAGGGGTGTGTGCACAAGCAGTCCTTTTATAGTCTGGAGAGGAGCCTAATGACCACCAGCTGAGTGCAATTACCTCGTGTACTTGCGCAACTGTTCCTGACGCCTATTACCTCTTCGGTGTTGGGCATCCAGGAACAACTCACTGCTGATGTCGGGATCACATTCCCTTGTCTCCTCCCCACTGGTCCAAGGGTCAGGCGCCTTCTGGTGGCCAACCAGCCTCTCTGCACCCTGCTCGGAGTCGGAACCCTGTCCAGGGTCCTCCACATCCTCCAGAACCAATTCATAGGGCCCCTCCCTGTCAGAGTCTGGTGGCAGCTCCAACGGCTCCTGCTGGGCCACAACATCCCCCATGTATGCTTGTGTGACCCATCCATGTGTGCACATGTCTCCCGCATGTGCCCCCATGTGCATGCGCAGCAGAGATCCAAAACCCACCTGGCCGGTGGGAGGCACATGTGCATGTGTGGTGGAGCTGGGCTGGGGTGACGGCTGGCATACCTGCAGAGAGGGCTATGCATGCCACCTGTGGCAGATATGCCATAGGTTCACTATCACGGATCTAGAATATGTCAGTCAAGCCGTATGCTCAGAAAACCAGATGAAAACGTACCGTTTTCCCATTTCAACGTTGAAGAACAGGCTCAAAACTGGAGGGGGTGTACCTTATTTTTTTTCATAATTTCCCCAATTAGCAATAGCAATAGCAGTTAGACTTATATACCGCTTCATAGGGCTTTCAGCCCATTCTCTCCATCCTTTATGTTTTTTTTTTTAATACCACATTGTTCTGGATTCTGGAAATAATCTTGGTATCTTCCATGGTGAAGCTCAGCTTAGATATTGACCTTACCTGCAGGGGTGGGTTCCAGCAGTCACTGTTGCCGATTCGCTTGCGGGCGCGCCGTGCGGGCACTTGATGTGCACTGCGCACACATGGGCAGTGCAATAAAAATTGTCCTGCGCATGCGCGGAAGCAAAAAACAAGATGGCGGTGCCTACAGCGCTTTCCGGAGAACCAGTTCGGGGGCGTGGCAAGCCTGCATCGCTGCTGGTTCCAGCGACGCAGCCCGCCAAACCACTAGCAGTTCAGTTGAATGGGTCCAAACCAGTAGGAACCTACCACTGCTGGTTCCACCACAAAACCGCATTCGACTAAAGGGCGCTCGATGAAACCGTGTAGCTGACGTCATCACAGCGCGACAACAGCGCGGAGAAAAAAGCATGCTGTAAAAGCTAAACCTANGTGTGTGTGTGTGTGTGTGTGTGTGTGTGTGTGTGTGTCAGTGGTGGGTTTCAAAAAATTTTGGAACCTCTTCTGTAGGTGTGGCCTGCTTTCCGGGTCCACTGGTGGAACCTCTTCTAACCGGTTCGGTAGATTTGACGAACCGGTTCTACCGAACTGGTGCGAACTGGTAGGAACCCACCTCTGGACTAGGCCCATCATGGCCACGCCCACCCAGCAACCAGGCAGAGAGAACCCCTTGCTGAAATTTTTGAAGCCCACCCCTGTTTTGGGGAAATATAATATTCTGCCTTTTTTAAAAAAATATTTCCCAAAATATTTCATTCTCCTGGGGGGAATGGGGGCTTTCCACACTGCCAAGCTTGAGAAATACTGCTATGGGGCACATAATGCCGGATGCTAACCAACAATGGCACGGGGGAAAAAAGCAGTCTTCTGCAACCAATTCCATGCTGCCTGCCTCTTCTGTGCATCTCAAAGCACTCTCAGAGTCTTCTCCAGCTGGGGAGCGTGAATGCAAGGGAGGCAGGAATTCTGGAAGTGAAACTTAGAAGGAAAAAAAACACCCCTTTCCTTAGCCACAGCTGTGGCTGGGCTTTCCAGATGTTTGCTTAGATCTGTGCATTCTCAGAAGCGTCTTAACCAGAGCAGTTTAAGGGGCTGCTCAGTTCTAACTAACGGGAACGGGAGCCTTTTTTCCCCTTCTGTTTACATGCCTCGGATCCTAAAGCGGTTTATCTCTTTGCTCAGCTAATGAGAAAAACTGGAGAAGGGACTTGCCTGCCAGCCTGTTGGCAAAGGCCTGCCAGCCTGTTGGCCCACGAACAGATGATTTAATTACTGAACTTCAGGCTCGTAAGGAAGGATGAAGCATCTCGATTTACAGACAATGTGTTTTTCATTAATTAAGTCGCTAAGAAAGTTGAATCAGAGGAAGAGTGGGATTGCCAGGAAGCCGCGCGGCTCAAAATCCCTTCTTCTATCTAGCCAGAAGCAGAGACAAGCCTGGGCCTATTTTTCTTCTGAAAACAAGAGCCAAAGGACACGGAAAAAACAATAAAGGCCAATCATTTGTCTAGACAAAATGAAATAAAACCCAAACACTAGGCCCTTCTTAGATGCATGTCCCATCTCATTTAATTTAAGTGGTTGCCAGGCTCCGTTTGGCTAGGCTTTTGATCACAGACTTTCAGAGAGGATGCTACCCCTAAGAGGCAAATATATGCAGATTGTAAAGTTTGAAGCTTTTTAAACAGTCACACCGGAAGCCAACTATATAGAAGGAATCCAGTTCTGAGTAAGACAGCAGTGGGAGAAGGTACCAGAGGTGTCATTCAGCAGGTTCTGAGCAGTGCTGGAGAACCGGTAGAAGAAATTTTGAGTAGTTCGGAGAACCAGTAAATACCACCTCTGACTCGTCCTGCCCCCATCTGTTCTCTGCCTCCCGAGTCTCAGCTGATTGGGTGGGAATGGAGATTTTACAGTATCCTTTCTCTGGAGTGGAGAGGGAACAGAGATTTTACAATATCCTTCCTCTCCAGTGGGTGGGAATGGAGATTTCACAGTATCCTTCCCCTGGAGTGGGGCAGAAATGTGGATTTTACAGTATCCCCCTAGAGTGGGGAGGGAATGGAGATTTTACAGTAACCTTCCCCTGAAGTGGAGAGGGAATGGAGATTTTACAGTATCCTTCCCCTGGAGTGGGGATGGAATGGAGATTTTACAGTATCCTTCCCCTGGAGTGAAGAGGGAATGGAGATTTCACAGTATCCTTCCCCTGGAGTTGGAGGGAATGGAGATTTTACAATAACTTTCCCCTGCAAGGCTCACAAGCCACGCCCACCAAGCCATGCCATGTCCACCAAGCCATGCCCACAGAAGCAGGAGTAAATTTCTTTGAATCCCATCACTTATGTGTGGTTATAAGAAAATGGATTTGTTACTGCTGAATGTGCTTCCTAAATACTTCTGCACTATCCTGTATTTTCCAAACAATCGGGAATCCTGCTTATTCAAGGATTTTCTAATGGTACGTTTGCAGCCTGTGCCAAATTCATTTATAAATGTTCTTTCAGATAGTTTGCCAAATATATACGTCACATAGAGACTGCGTTTCTCCTTCTTTGATATTCAGAAAAACACTGGGATAAAGTTTGAATCCACTAAAAAAAAAAAAAAGCCAGTTACTGGTTGTCCTCAACCTACGACCATAATTGAACTTGGAATTACAGGCTTAAGTCATGCGTGTCATTAAATGAGTCATCACATGACCAACCTGGTGTGTGTGTGTGTGTGTGTGTGTTGCATTTGTGCTGATAAATAAATAAATAAAGGGAGACTAGTATAGATCTATTTCAAGCTATTTAGCTCTCATCCCTTACTGGGATTTGAATCTGGGCTGTATTACATATTAGGCAGTTGTNCCACTTTACAGGGCTAATCCTGTAAGGAAGGCAGGAAGGAAACATTCTGGTGTTGTTTCTAGTCTAATCTTTATTGCTCTGCTTACAGAAACTACCTCTCCGGTTAACCCTTATTCCATTGTGACAGCTAAGGCGAAGCTCCCATTGACGTGAGTGATGTCAAGTTGGCCATGCCTATCCAGTCACATGACCACTGAGCCACGCTTACCCAGCTGGTCATTAGGGCAGAGAACCAGTTGTTAAATTATTTGAATCCCACCACTGGTGTCTGTGTGTATTTAAGGACAGACATTTGGAGTGAGAAGCCCATCCACAATTCTGAAAATGGACACATACAGAATTTGCACTACTGAATTTTAGACGGCTGTGGAGATTCTCCATCATCCAGATCATGGTTGCCCCAAAGGTGCTTTTTGCAAGAGGCAACTGGACCTTCTGGGTTTTTTTTCCTTTGAAGATGCCTTGTTTCCCATTCAAGAACTTTCTTCAGCTGTGACTGGAATTCCCCACTGATCCAGTCAGAACTGAAGAAGCTTCTTGGATGAGAAGCAAAACATCATCACAGAAGCCCCCCCCCCCACCGAAATTCCAGCTGTCTCTTGAAAAAGTCCCTTTGAGACGGCTGAATTCTAGCTTTTCATATCAAACTTGAATCTGGGATCCTGGAGTTGTAAGTGGAGTGGCAGGAAAATTGCAGGCCTGAGACTCTTTCGTTTTTGCAGAGATGTTTGTGATCTCTCTCTCTCTTCAGAGAGTTGTTTTCATTGCAGCTTGTGCCAACCTAATATTCTCCAGCTGTCAATTTCCTAGTTGGCTGGGAGCACTAACCTATCATTCTGGGTATCGGAGGGGGTTGGCAGACCTATTTGCGGGAGACTATAGTGTTGGGATGCACAGCATGGGAGGGACGATGGCTTCCGGATGTTTTGCCGGATGTCATGAGCCGAGGTGGCACAGTGGTTAAATGCAGCACTGCAGGCTACTGCTAGATCAGCAGTTCAGCGGTTCAAATCTCACCGGCTCAGGGTTNTATGTATGTATGTATGTATGTATGTATGTATGTATGTATGTATGTATGTATGTATGTATATATTTTGGTGGGTAATAAACGAACTCAATGGCCATTAAAAGCGAGTCCATTGTTTGCTAGGGGCATTTTTTTTTTGAAACTCAAAGTAAATTCCAGTTTCCTGCAAAAAAGGTAATAAATCATGGTTATGTGACTGCAGGACATGCAAACAGCTGTAAATGGGGATTTGTTGCGAAGTGCCCAAAATACAATCCCATGATCTTGGCTAGATAGGAGAACCTGGCTGTTGGAACTTTGAATCCAGGTCATAAGTATCTTTTTAGAGATTCTGTTGTAACTTAGACTGATCGCTCAGCAACGTTGTTAAGTGAGGACTCTCTGTAGGTTGCTAACGCCAACATCTAGTTTTAGGAAATTATTGTTGAATATGAGCTTGAGATGTCTGAAGAGATCTTCCATCTGTGTTCTGATCTAGGTTTCCTCAGCAGCACGAAGCTAAGTCTTTGTCCCAATAAACCCCTTTTATTTAATTTACAGTGAATTCCTCTCCAGCAAAGTCCCGGTCCATTGTCTTTCAAGATAGTTCACAATTACTGACCTTTATCAGGCTTGGAGAATGACCAGGCCGATATCTTTCAGACGCCGCAATGCTTGGCAAGAATGCAGGGATGAACAAATTGTCTCCTGCAAACTCCACTCCTCTTTCGCTCCTCTTTTATTCCCTATGGGAGGGGCCATTCACCATCCAACTCTGGGTTTCGTCCCAAGTTGACCCTTGTTTCTTAGATTTCCCTTCATCTGGCAACTATGCGCATGCGCACACTGGGAACAGGCTCCAGCTGTTCATCTGCCTCACTGATGTCTGACTCTGAAGGCAGTCCTGGCCTCATCTTTGCCTCTGACACAGAGCCCTCGTCAGAGTCTCCCCAGACTCCAGGACTGGCCCATGTTCCTCGCCAACCTCCTCTCTGCCCAAATCTGCTGCCAGCTCTGCTGGCCATTGGCGGGCCACAACAGTCAGCCCCAATTCTTTGCCCAATAGCGAATGAGGACGGGGATGATATGCTAGTTATCTCTCACGGACTTGCACAATGCTCAATTTTTGCATGAAATATATTAGATTG